AGCAAGACGCAGCAGCAGAAGAGGACTCAGCCGAGGAGGTTATGGAAGAGGATGGAGTAGGAGGAGTAGAGGAGGTGGCAGCAGGCCTGCCTGCAAGTCGTGGCGGTGTCACCAACTCCTCTGCAGAGCCACGCATTCCATGCTTGGCAGCCATCAGCAGGTTTACCCAATGCGCAGTGTAGGTGATATACCTGCCCTGACCATGCTTTGCAGACCAGGTATCAGTGGTCAGATGGACCCTTGCCCCAACACTGTGCCAGACATGCCATTATTTCCTTTTGCACAATCGAGTACAGGTTGGGGATTGCCTTTTGTGAAAATAAATTTCGTCCGGGTACCAGTGAGTGAGTGGTGGCACTGGGCACAGTATCCACTGTGAGCTTAACACACCCGCTTTAAGGACACTGACTGCTATTCAATCTATAACAGTGAAAAAAGTTTTTTGTTTTTAAATGCAAGCTATTGTGACACCAGTGAGTGAGTGGTGGCACTGGGCACAGTATCCACTGTGAGCCTGACACACCCGCTGGCAGACAACTAACTGCTATTCAATCTATAACAGTGAAAACAGTTTTTTGTTTTTAAATGCAAGCTATTGTGACACCAGTGTGTGAGTGGTGGCACTGGGCACAGTATCCACTGTGAGCCTGACACACCCGCTGGCAGACAACTAACTGCTATTCAATCTATAACAGTGAAAAAAGTTTTTTGGTTTTTAAATGCACGCTATTGTGACACCAGATAAGAGTGGCACTGTGAACTGGCAGAGTACACGCTGTAGGGCTGACACACCCGCTTTGAGACAACTAACTGCTATTCAATCTATGACAGTGAAAAAAGATTTTTGGTTTTTAAATGCACGCTATTGTGACACCAGATATGAGTGGCAAAGTACACTGGCAGAAGTCTGCAGAGCACACGTTGAAGGCCTGACACCCGCTTTAAGGACACTGACTGCTATTAGCTTACACTGAAAAACTTTTTTCCTTTGTAAAAGCACGCTATAGAGACACCAGATATGAGTGGCAAAGTAGACGGGCAGAGGTCTGCAGAGCACACGCTGAAGGAGGCCTGACACCCAGACGCTTGCAGACAACTAACTGCTATTCAATCTATTACAGTGAAAAAATTTTTTTTCTTTTTAAATGTCAAGCTTAAGCTATTGTGACACCAGATATGAGTCGTGGCACTGGGCAAATGGGCACAGTATCCACTGTGAGCCTGACACACCCGCTTTAAGGACACTGGCTGCTATTCAATCTATAACAGTGAAAAAAGTTTTTTGTTTTTAAATGCAAGCTATTGTGACACCAGTGAGTGAGTGGTGGCACTGGGCACAGTATCCACTGTGAGCCTGACACATCCGCTTTAAGGACACTGACTGCTATTCAATCTATAACAGTGAAAAAAGTTTTTTGTTTTTAAATGCAAGCCATTGTGACACCAGTGAGTGAGTGGTGGCACTGGGCACAGTATCCACTGTGAGCCTTACACACCCGCTTTAAGGACACTGACTGCTATTCAATCTATAACAGTGAAAAAAGTTTTTTGTTTTTAAATGCAAGCTATTGTGACACCAGTGAGTGAGTGGTGGCACTGGGCACAGTATCCACTGGGAGCCTGACACAGAAGCTGGCAGCAGTGGCAGACAACTAACTGCAATTACATTACACAAAAAAAAAAAGCAGACTGATGTTCTAGCCCTAAAAAGGGCTTTTTGGGGTGCTGTCCTTACAGCAGAGATCAGATGAGTCCTTCAGGACTGTTGTGGACACTGTATACCCTAACCTAGCTATGCATTTCCCTATCTAATCAACAGCAGCTACACTTTCCCTCCTCTCACTAAGCATGCAGCTTGAGAATGAATCTAAAATGGATGCTGTCCAGTAAGTGGGAGGGTCTGCTAGGGAGGGTGTGCTGCTAATTGGCTGGAATGTGTCTGCTGACTGTGAGGTACAGGGTCAAAGTTTACTCAATGATGACAAATAGGGGGCGGATCGAACCGCACATGTGTTCGCCATCCGCGGCGGACGCGAACACGCTATGTTCGCCAGGAACTGTTCGCCAGCGAACCGTTCGGTGCATCACTAGTAGTAATGCGCGCTCAGATCTAAGCTATCTGGGGATATGTAGAATGTATATGTTTTATGTAATAAATGTGACTGTATGTAATTTTATGTCTTTTACTGTATTGTTACTGCCATGTGGTTAATGGAGTTTTGCCTCTGTCTTTGGAGATAATTGGATTACTTCCCAATTATCTCCAGGACAGAGAGGAGGGATTGTGATGTAATTGTGGGAGTGTTTAAAGGTGCATGTATGTGATTGGCTAATAGCCAATATGTTTCCCAGTTTCCCATTTGGTCCCCTAGGGGAGTGTCCACCAGGTGGGAGACCTGCATAAAAGCCGGGCAGTTAGCCCCAGTAAAACAGATTCTGCTTAACCCTCAAAACGAAGTGTCGTCTCGTTATTGGGGGAATTGAATTGTAAATGTCACAAAAGATTCAATCTACAAGCTTAAACTGATGCAAAGATGAATGAAAATATAGAACAGAGGCGTGAGTATCATCAAGCGCTTCAAAATCGCCAAACCCGGAAGTGAGATGAATCTGGTGGAACGCACATGCGTTCCAATATAAAAATATGTCTACACAAAACAGAAAAAAGGAAAAAGGGTGTCGCTAATAAACAAAAATGCTATTAATATATCATGCAGCAAAAACACCTAAGTGTACAGTCACTTTTTACACTTACATATACAGGTAGCAAAACAAAAGGAGAGGTGATTGCGCAATTTTGGTATAACTCCCAGATTATATAAATAATCTCTAGGCTCTGTGAATACAGAAAACCAACATAGGGTGATACATTTAGACACTATATAATAAAAGTGAGAGACTTGGGAAAACTCACAATTTTCAGAGCATTTCTAAGTTTGCTCTAAACTATGAAGGCAGGATACATCAATCAGATGTGCATATATCTGTGCTTGGTCCCCACAGGAGATGTTTGTAGTTCTCTGTAAAATCAGGCAGGAACCACGAAGCCAGGTGAAAAGGTACAAAACACTTTAATTTATACAAAATAAAAATAGTAAAATAATAATAGCACAACACGTTTCGACCCAATACAATGGGTCTTCCTCAGGTGCATATGTAGTTACAACTGCATCAAACATCATTTATATATGGCAAACATCTCAACAAAAACAATTACAAGTGTGTGACAATAGTCCCTCCTTTTTTTTCCCCTTATATGGAGTATTTCTAGCTTATATTTCCACCTCCCCCAATTTGTCTGCTTGCATCCTCCAAAACATGACCTTCACAACATGGTTGCACGTCGTGGCTTGTTCCGATACGTCATTTCCGGTTTTCCGTCATCACCGGAAGTCGTCATTTCCGGTTTCGTCATTACGGCGCCGTAATGGCGTAAACATGCAGATTGGTCACTAATAAACAAATATAGCTCCAAAAAGGAGCAGGGACACTGCCTAGAAGTATATTTATCTTGGCTCCAAATCTGGAGACAAGAATAAAGTCTGCAAACCTGATAATAAAGATATATAGGGTAATAAAAAAAACACACTATAGAAAAAAGCAATTGGGAAAAAAATGAATAAAAAATTCTAAGAGAATAATAAATTAATATTGAAAAAAAAGGGGGAAAAAGGAAGAAAGAAAAAATAATAAACACATGTAAAAAATGTCCACATAAAGATGAAGTCAAGGATGCCTGATAATCAAGTCAAAGCATCTCAAGCCATGCAAAACAATTGCAGGTATAAGGTACCATCATCTTAAAGTGACAGAGGGTCATCAATATACAAATAAAATCAAAACAAATCTGAACAAAATTAAACAACCCATGCCCTGCACAGACAATAGAGACTGTCAGATACAATACAACATGTATAATGGTTAAGTAGACATAAGTCTTCCAAAAGAAGAATAAAAGAGACAAAATTCAGGTGTATATTTCTGAGAGGAGTCCAATCATCAGAGGGCCGCCCAATAGTGAACAACCCGAAAGGGAAACAAAACTGAAAGAAGAAAGAATAAAATCAATGTCAAAAATTACAAATACAAACATTCACAGGCAAAGGTAAAAATAGAAGGAACCCAAAAAGCGGTCCCAATAAGACAATTAAAAAACTCCTTGATGGCAAATGCTTTCCCTGTTCTGGGATGTGTAAACTTTAATATTCCTCGATCTCTTATAGGCCATGAGTGGTCTCTCCTTAAAGAGATCAGCAATCTCTGGGTCACTCTATAGAACATGCCAGTTCTTATTGATAACGTGTTTGACCAAACCGGATTTGGTCAAATATGTAGTGACACATGGAATACGATTGGACATGTTTCTCTTGTTCTTACCCTTAGTCCTCAGTAATGATGTCCTCTCCCGATTTTTTTACTTTGGCCAAAGCTTCCTGTAAGGAGGTATCGTTATAACCCCGGTTACGAAAATCTTCGATCCTAGCCTGGGATACGATCCATCGAACACGTAACAATTGGCTGAAAGAAAGGCTTCAAATCATACTGGCTGGGTGAAAGGAGTTAGCCTGCAGAAATGCAACTTTATCAGTTGGTTTTCGAAAAAGGTCAAAGCACAATCCCTCATCAATTTTATTTACCTGAACATCCAAAAAATGAATGCTACTGGCATCGTGTTCCAAAGTAAACTTAATGCTTGGTACATATTTATCCAAATCCGCTTTAAAAGATAGATTAGCCTCTGAACCATTCCAAAGAAAGAACACATCGTCAATATAACGAAACAAAACCGCCACAGATTTGAATAAGGTATGTGGATAAACAAATTCTTCCTCAAACTTGGCCATGAACAAGTTGGCATTAGAAGGAGCCATACTGGCCCCCATCGCCGTCCCCTGTATCTGTAGAAAAAGGTAATTCCCAGAATCTCTGCAGGAAGAACCCAAGTTATCCAATTTTCCCACAAAATTACTGGTATCCGGTATTTATGACCTCATCTGTACCACCAGCACTTGAAGATAAGCATCAACGTATTGGGCCAGCGGCTGAAGCAAAGAACCACAACCCGAAACAATGGGCCTGCCATGGGGATTCAAGAGATCCTTGTGAATTTTGGGAAGCAGGTACAAAAAAGGTATACAAGGTGTATTAAGAAACTCAAAGATCTTTTTGTTGATAAAACCCTGATTCATGGCCTCAAGGGTAATAACCCCGATCCTTTCTTGAAACTCTTTCATTGGGTCCCTTGATAGTTTCTCGTAGTGAACCCGATTAGACAGCTGTGCCTCTGCTTCAGCATTATATTTGTCAATGTCCATGACAACAATGGCCCCACCCTTGTCCGCAGCCCGGACAATGATAGAGTCATAACTTCTCAGGGCACCGACGACCCTCCACTCATCTCCTGTCAGATTGGAGGAACCCCTCCTGGACCAATTGATCTTGGAGATCTCCAATTGGCATAACTTAATAAAAGTTTCAACTGTGGAATTGATGGCGGGTGGAGTGAACTTACTTTTATTTTTACATTTGGAATTAACCTCAAGCTCAGGTTCTTGGATTTGTACATCCGAGGATAAATTGTCTCATGCAAAGAAAACTTTTAAATGTAAGGAACGAAAAAATGTATACAATTCGATATCCAAGTCCAATTTGTCACCGTCAAATAAAGGAACAAAACCCAGATCCTTGTTAAGTACCGAGATCTCACTTACGCCTCCATGGTCTCCTCTCCCTCTGTGGATATCTCCGAGGGGGATGGTTTACTGGGTCGTCTCTTGCCTCGCCTGGTCTTGTGCCTCCTCCTCTCGGGCGTCGCTGTTCTAAAAAATTACTAGTGTTGGCTGATCCAATAGAGATCTGGATAATGTCTAGAGAAAGAGCGTTCGCCCTGGGGTGCGTTGAATCTCTGGCGCTGAAATTGCCAATTATAGACTTTGTTGTCAAGATAATCTATTGTGTCACATTTGAATTTGGATAATTTTCTATTGAGGGTATCTGTCTTGTGTTTGGACAAAATACTGTCAATCTCCTCTGAATGTTTAATAAAGGATTCGTGATTGTCAGTACTCAATATTCCATTTCTGGCAATACTAATTTCTTTCTTCAATTCAATCAAATTTTCTTCAATCAAATATAGGGATGGGGTGTCTGATAAGCTTGTGGTGAAACATTTCCTTGAACAGAAACATCCATTAGCCTCCTTGAAGTTTGTAGCCATCGACCATGTCCCTGTATCAAAAAGAGCGGGAGATCGTGGAAAGACACTATTAAATAGAGAGACGTTCTGGATTTATGAATTGGACACTGTATTTCCAAAGGGCTTAAATGAGACCATCTTGTTTCACTCTTGTTTATAAGCATCTTTTTTTATAAGAATTCTTTTGGGTTAATCATTTTTTAGCATTGCATACCAATTATGTCTCTAGACCCTAAATTGCTATATATGTACATAATGCTCCAGCTTGAACCTTTTATGGTCCTGGTCATACGGTATACCGCTTTAAACATTAACATAATATGTTCAATAATGGCATATGGCCACTCTTTCTGAAGTATAATTACCTTTAAGTGTATTACTCAGTATAAGAGATGTACAGCCTATTAGCCTCTATGTGTTTGATAGTAGAATATCCCTTAAGCGGCAGCAGTATGCCCAGGATTTTTAGTATGTGTATTTTGTATATGTGTGTTGTATATGTTTCTGTATAGTGGTACACACATTTTGTGATAAGCTTCAATATTCAGTATGCACTTGGGCTGTTATACATAGCCACAGTGCATTTATGGTTAGTGACTGGTTGTTATATTTTACATATTTTGGCACTTTAAGCACTCATTCATTTGCACTTTATCTTTATTACTTTTACCACTTTGTTATTCCTTGCATATGAAAAATATAAAATAAACATAAAAAATGCTTTTGGGAGACAAAATTAAATAAAATAATATAATATAAATTGTTAAATTATTTGTTTTTAAGTTAAAATAGTTAAAGACTAGATTGTTAAGACAGTTGAAAAAAAAGAGGGTTCACCTTACTCTGAACCTTCATCTTTACCCTTTTCTTCTTCACCTTTCTTTAGATTGTCAGAATTCATCTATTGTTGTCAAAAAGGAATTAACTTGGGATCCCCTTTTACCTTATCTTTTATCTTTTTTATCTTTTATTGTAAAAAAATTTTATCACTCTCCCGGTCGTCTTTTACTGCTCTCTTTAATCTTTTTCTTTTTGGGTTGAGGTATTATCTTACAGGTGGTAGTCCTCCTTGGGTTCATCTGCAGGTAATCATCCTCTTTAACATGCAGTACACATACGGACTACCCTATCTTTTTAGATAGGGTTTATGACAGGGAGTAACTCTTTTCACAATACTAGAAGTTGTAAAGTGTAATAAAAAAATGGAAATGAAAAGGTTTGTGTTCCACCCATGTTATCATCTCTTACCGTTTATTTGGTCTTTGTCTTTTTCATTTTACATTTATTCAATATTGCTAGGTGGCAATCTGACTAACCATGTAAAGCGCTAAGCGCAGAAAAAAAGATTGTCAAAAAGAAAGAAAACGAGGGAGAAAGAGCCTAAAATTTTAATTAACATTTAATGTTCTCTGTCTTTTTGTTTCGTTTAGTTTTGTTTAGTTTTTTCTTTTCAGCACTTATTCTCCGGTAGACATGTTGATGTTATTTAAACATTGACAATGATGCAGACTCATTGGCAGTTTTTTCTATCTAATTACAGGAAAGTGCTCAGTGCAGAATCAATCGGTGTCTCTATTTTTTATGTGTCTCCAGTGTCAAGAAATAAATGACTCCTTTTATTAAGAAACAACTTCCTTTATTATCTAAATGAGACGACTGACGTCAGCAGACATGCAAAGGTTGACAGTTACACTAATAAGACAAAGTAAATTAAATCTGTTTTCAAGAGGTTGGGTAGGAGGATGTTAGTCATTTTCCCATGCTACATTACAAATGGCAGTTTTGATTTGCCTTCCATTCCAGGTCGTAGATTTATTATATGAAAATTAACTTGACTTTGAAAATTGTTAGTTAAAACATAAGAGGCAGTTTTGACTCCATTACCAGGAAGGGGACATGTGGCGGCTAAATCCATCCTCTTAATTGTATATCATTGTTCAGATTATGCATTTCCATAGTTTGCATTTAAATAGCAGAGCCAACTTCACAAAGCAGTGTAACATTTTAGAATGTTTAGATGTTGTCAGATAGAAGTCAAGTCAGTGGCGGATCTGGGGGGGGCCACCGGGGCAATTGTCCCCCCCCCCCTGAGAAAATAGTGCTGCCCGAGGCTCTCCCCTGCCGGTCCATGAAGGGCTGGCACTATCCAAGCGCCAGACCTGCTGTTTGCCTTCACAGACTGGATGGGAGATCAGTGATCTCCCTCCCCGGCCCACAGGCACATTGCTGGATGGCTGGCAGGGAAGAGAGAGAACCCGGGTGTAATGGTATTTATTAATTAATGACTTTACATCATAAAGAAAGCATATTTAGTGTAATGCTTTGGGGGCACCATTAGGGGGAGTGTGTAGGAAGACCTGTGCTTCTGGCAGTGACATCACAGGCCAGCCTACTTACACTGAATAAAAACCCAGATGTGAGGAGAAGCTAGCTCTCTGTTTGCCTGTACCTGACTGAACCTAAGATGTAGTACCAGCTCTGACTTAACCCCAGCCAAAGGGCTGGGGCCTTGTAAGTAAAATGTTGTGTAACATGTAGCAACCTTTTGTAAGTAATATGTTGTAGTTTTGTATTGTATCATAATTGTAGTAAATTGACATTCTGCTAGCATCGGTTTATTTATTATAGTTATATTAAATATACATTTAATATTACAACGTTTTGTGTATTTTCTATCCACATATTCGACCATAATACCATGAATTATAAAAATATTAATGTTGTTCCGTATTGCTTAATTATTATGTATTAAGAGATTAATATTCATATTTAGGTCACGACCACAACATTTGGCGTAGTCGGCAGGATTATGCTTGAATATTGGGGAAAATATAAATGTTATGCATTTTGCTTAAATCATACTGTAAATTGTCTGTCTGTATACAAATGAATAAATGAATGATGATTTGGTTTTAATGGAATGAATGCAGATAGCAAATAGGGATTAGATATTTGTTTTTAATGTATCTCTTGCTGTAGAACATAGTGATGAATTATTGTGTTGCTTGTTACCAATCTTTAGTCATTTGTATATAGGAGAAAACTTATATATACTTTATCTTTTGTCTGACCATGTGGATTTTAATCCACCATTGACCACATGGTGTGAATGAGTTGAGGCCTAGTTTCATTGTTTGCTACCATTTGCATAGGAAAAGACTTTTCACTAAACTAGTTCACCAGGTTTTATTGCTAAATTTGACCCTGTTTGTGTACTAATTTACATTTGTTTGGCATTCATGGATTTGTCTAGTAAATTAGTAGTTAAGAAAAAGATACGTTTAGTAAAGCAGATTCAGTGAATAATAGATTTATGTGTGCGTATACACAGAATATTAGTATAAATATATATAGGATTTTGACTCATGAAGGAGAGACCACCTTTTTAACAGCTGTGTGACCATGCTTTTCAGCTACAGCTGGGGGAGAATTTGTCCTTGTTGGGGGTGGGTAGTCTTGCCTGTATGAGAAAAAATAAACTGCATTGTTTTGTAAATGTAATTGCCTAAACTAATCAATTTGTGGAGTGTTTTTCAGCTTTATTATCCAGGACTAAGGAATTACTGGACATATGCAGGAACTGGTAACAAATGAACTGAAAAAATGGTAAAATAATTCCTTTGTCCTATTTAGTCTGAATATTTTAACAAGTTAGCATTTTTAACAAAGTAAGTGTAGGGGCTCAGATTAAGATTTATATTATTTTAGAAGCCATCTATAACTGATTTTAATATTTCCATGCTTTGAATTAGGGTGTATCTGCCTAGCGGGTGAACCTCCATAACGTGGGCTGTGATTTTAGTTACAGTAGCGGGTGGGGAACCTGAGCTAGGGGGTATTTAAACGTGTCCGGATAAGGGGGAGCATACCCAATAGTTGTTGTGCAGTTCTATCCTGTATTATTATTTGAAACCCTGTATTACTTATAAGTAGCGTTTTGTAACTTATTTGTAATTGTTTATATATATTGCTCTGGGAAAGGGATAGGCAAAATCTCTGAGAGACCAGGAAATATATTTTTTAAAAAGGGCGTATTACACTAGTGGTAGGGCGGCCTATCATGACCATAGAGACCCTTGGTGACTAGTTTTTGTTGTATATTGCCCTGGGAAGGGGATACGCTATTTAATAGAAATTCCTGAGAGACCAGGAAATATACAATAAGTGATACGTGAGTGTACTGGTTAAACTGCAGACATATTGGC